CCTCCGAACCCCAGACTGTCCCCTAGACCCCTCCGGGCCTCTACTCACGTTGCAGCCGGCTTTGATGTCCCCACCGGCACACACCATGGTCTCCTTGACCGTTGTTCCCCACCAGTCTGGCTCGGAGCAATGGGGGTAATCCACCACTGGCAGGAGCGCTTGCTGAAGGTTGCTAGGGATGGAGCCTCCGGCTGGAAGAGAAACGACACCCGGTGAATGGCCTCCCTCTTTCCAGGACCCACCTTCCCCCCCCCACCCACCCAGCCAGGACCTACTGTAAAGCGTGCCCCAGCCAGTGATGTAGCAGGGATCATAGTTGGGGGGCACCTCTCCTCTTGGGGGGAGGCAGGCCAGCTTCACCTTGTCGTTGAGCACAGCCGGGCGGGAGAGTTTGATCAGGGCGATGTCATCCCTGAAAGAAGTGCCAGTGTTTTTTTTGGGGGGGGGGCTTTTTCCTTCCCCGCCTGGGACTTGCTTTGGAAGAAGACACCCACCCACCCCTCTGCCTCCATTGCCGCAGAGACACTTCTACTCACCCGCAGGCGATGCAGTTGGGGTTCCATCCGGGATGCACGATGATGTCCCCAGAGTTAATCAGGATGTACTGTTCCGTGCTCTCATCCGTGAACAGGTTATGGTCACCCAAGACGACCCTGTAGCGGTACTGTGGACTGATGGCAGGAGGGAGCGGGGTGAGATCGGGGAGAGGGGCTGGATCTGCTTCAGCCCTCTTGTTGGGCAGAGGCACCTCCCTCCCCCAGGAAAGGTCGGAGCGGAGGGGCTCCTCCGCCCATCCTGCGCCCACTCCCCCATCCCCATCCCCGGGGTGCCCGAGGGGACTCACAAGATGCAATGTCCGGCGGTCATCACCCAGTTGGGGTGGATGAGGCTCCCCCCACAGGTGTGGTAGAAGTAGTCCCCAGACTGGTACTGCAGGGACACCTGCAGCAAAAAAAGGGGTGGGTGGGCTGTTACTGTCAACCCTCCCACCCTCCCCGACCTTTCTCTCCCCCTCTGGAGTGTGCTGTGTTAGCAGTTTCACGATCTCTGCCAGGGCGGGCAGCTTTTTTCCAGAGAAGCCCCCCCCCTTTTCCCTGCCTTTCTGGTGGGGCTATTTGGAATGGGGAGGGGGTGTCGCCCCACTTACCTGCCAGGGCCAGCTGTAAGGAATGGCCTCTTCTCCGTTGACTACCCTCCCGGTTCGGACGGGGGAGTAGGACGGGTCCCCGCAGCCGTGGGCTGTGCGGAAGGGGAAAAAAAATCACACCATCTAGTCTAGGGGTAGG